TGAAGTTCAGGAAGGAAAGGAGGGATGTGCTTTAGAAATGGGTCTGTCTCCTTTGCCTGCTTTACTAGATTGGCATGCAGCTCTTCTTATACAAAGTGTATTTGTTTTGGCTCTGGTATATTCTATATTCTAGCAGATAACCCACCCTAGCTACAATGGATCTTTGCACATTTTAGAAAATGACTGATTATATTTACAGGAGGAAATAAATATCCATCCCAAAATTCAAAGTAGATTCCTATCAAGTGCTTAAAAGTACTCAGATTTAGACTTTTTTCCTAGTTTAAGAAACATCTGCAATATTTGTTTTGGTTCATTACTGTAAAAGCCCCTCCTGGTGTTATGAATGAGAGAAAACTACTTGACTCCTGAAAGAGTTCTGATAAAATTCCTTCCTAAGACCACGGTGTGGCAGGATTTCTATATTAATGTGGCATGCCTCCAAAAGAAAATTCTAGAGTTTTATGCTAAAAGCAGTCACTTACTTTGACTTTAATTTCTCTCTACTATAAATGTAGATGTGTTTGAATGCCTGAACACAGATTAATTCCAATAGAGAAAAACTTAGCATGTGTCCTCATTTGGGGTGTTTTTCATTAAAGTCTCTTAAGTATAGCGCTATTTATAGTCTCTTATCAAGTTTGCTAGCATTAAACCCTAGTAAATTATAAGATGTCTTGGAAACTGAAGACATATGTTGTAATACGGCAAGTATAACAGGTTTTCTGCATATACTTCATCCTTCCTTTCATTCAGTGATTCAGCAAATACTTATTCATTTCATTTGTTTTCATCCATTCAACCATTTGGCAGGTATTTATTGACTACCTACTATGTGCTGCCAGGGACTAGTGCAGAGAACAGGGGAGAGAGGATTCTTTCTGTAATGGAACTTATTTTCAATTGAGGCCGAGGGAAAGTCCAACAAGTAAATACACGATATTTGCAATTACTACTGTGTGCTGTAAAGAAAGTAAAAAAAAACGTAGACTCGTGAGCATCTGCAAGAGTGGGGTAGACCACTTGACGAGAAACATGAATGGCAGGTGCCAGCCCTCAAAAGTCTGGTGGAGCAGCCCGAGGGTCGGACTAGTTGGAAAGGTTTGAAGAACCAAGAGAGAGCTAGTATGTCTAAAAAGGCTGTGGGATTGGGTTTGGGTGCTAACAAACGAGGTCAGAAAAATAGGCCGAGACCAAATTTTCTTCTACGAATGGTACTGTCAGAGGCATTTAAACAGAGGAGTGGTATGATTTGATCCATGTTTTAGAAGCTTACTCTGCCTGCTGTGTAGAGAGTGGACAGTAGGAGGGCAAAGAAGAAAAGCAAGGTGGTGAGTTTAAAATATTAAGACCAACTGGTTGAAAATTCTGTGGTTAGTGTTATTGCACTGTATCCATCTGAATTGTGATACATCAATACCTATACATAAATCTTTGCATATTCTTCCAATTATTATTCTTTGAGACAAATTCCTAGAAGTGGAATTGATGAGATAAGAGAGTGTACATATTTAAAATTTGGTCCCTCTTGCTCAGCCACTTTGCAGAAGGGCTATTATTATTACCAGTTTTCACTCCTGTCAATAATGTGTTAAGAGTTCCAGTACATGTGTTGTGGTGATACTGCAAGGGTAACATATTCTGCACGTATTTCATTCATGTATCCATCCATCTCTCTAGTCAATGATTCAACAAATATTTATTCACCCACTTAGCCTTTTGGCAGATATTTATTGACCACCTACTAGGTGTCACCAGGGACTAGTGAAGAGAACAAGAGAGATACTTCACCACACCGACATTGCATATTTCTCATCCTTGCCAATCTGAGAGGTATGAAAGGTGTTAACTGTTTAGGGTACAGAATGGAGGAGACGTGGCTCGATAGTTTGAATGAAGAAATCATGGGGATCTTAGTAGGAATGGAGGGTGCAATGTTGCCATTACATACTCAGAAAGATATTCCAGCTCTGTTTACACAGCCTCTGGAGGTGGTGGGCCCAGTCCTGTGGCTTTCACTCAGACTACATCCAAATTGATGTTCACTTCTGATCCAGCATTTTATGAAGGACATTTACAAACTGGAGCGTAATCCAAGGTTAGTAGTGATTGGTATAATTCAGTGGACTTGGGCCTAGTTGAAGGAGCTGGAGTATTGTTTTAATGAAATGCAGTCATCTTCCTGAACTACTGGAAGAGCTGTCACATAAAAGAGAATATAGAATGATTCTGTGTTGTCCCCCAGGACAGGTAGACTTTAAAGGAAGAATGGAATTTTTGACTCAACATGGGGAAGATGGTTTTAGTAATTAGCACTGTTAAAAATGGAGAAGTCCTTGTGGCTGGAAGTATTCAAGCAGACTAAATGATGGTCTCTCCAGTGTGCTGTGGAGAGGACTTTCTGTGCTGAGTGGGAGATTGGATAGCATCTCAGCTTCCTCCCAGTTTTGAGGCTTGTTGTAATTTATTGATTCTTAAGATACCTGGAAGTTAGATGAATTAGCCCTTGAAATAAAACCTAAGACAAAAACAGACCCAGGCTTTCTAAAGAAGAGGAATAGAATTGTCTCCTCTCCACCAGCCCTCTTCTCTGTTTTGGTAACATTCCGTGGGAAGGAGGCCATGACTGGCTCATCATGGTGACTCGCCCCACTTCCTGTGAGCATTTAGAAGGAAATAGACAGCTAAGGTTGCCGTTCCTGCTATCAGAGGCCAGGGAAGAAAAGTAGGGGTCATGGTGGGGAGAATCTTTTAATTACAGATCTCACCCGACTTCAGAAATTACTGGAGCTTCCAACTCTGGCAGTTCAGCTATTGACTGAATTAAGTTCTTAAATGAGCCTGCAGCTGTTGGTCACCATGTAGCTGAAAGGAAAGATTGGCAACACCCCATGTCTTGGTCAGGAACTGGAGGTTTAACCCTAGAATGGAACATTGCTTGGGCTTCAAACCTGGGGCTCTAGCTGGGCTCAGTAGGAAATTTGGAGTGGGTGGATGTGTTCAGCAGCCTTGTACTTGCCACTAGGCCCTTGAGTGAGACTGCTTTGACCTGGTCTCCTCTCCCTGCTTTTGGTAGTTCACAGTTCAGGGGAAGCCCCAGTTTTTCAGAATAAGACTGGAGGTGGGGAATGTTCTGTGACTGACCTTGGGCCCTTCACTCCCTGATGAAACTTGGTTATTGGTTTTGTACCAACTGCTAGACCTTAGGCCACAGTTACTCGGAAAGGAAGTGTCCAGGTTCAGGTTCAAGCCGTAAGATTGTAGCCTGTGATCTAAAGGCTTGGCCTGAAAAGGTATTTTTTAAATTGATTTTGAGTGATTTATTGAAAGGATGGTTTTGGTACTAATTTACATCCCTTAGTATTAGCATACTTCCTCAATTCTTACATGCTGTGAAAAAAAAAATTTTTTTTTTTACATTTCTAAAGTTGGAATGTCCCTCCAAATTCTGAAAATAAGTGATGGTCTCCTTAAATCACCTTAGACTTGAGCAGGTACTTAGAAAAGCACTATTTATTTCCATGAACTTTCCCGAGGCTTTAAGTAACCAAAAACTAGTAACAAAGCTTCCTTCCCTAATAATCGAAGTGAAGAACTCTGTGGACGTGGGCATGATGGTTGTGATTCTTTTCCATTCTCTCCCACTGTGTGTTTCTGTTCCACCATACTGATTCCCACTAAGGAAGCAGAGGTTTGGCCTGAGCCTCCTTCCCTGAGGCCCATTTCCTCAAAAGTTAGGCCACATCTAACCTGCTGACAGATGGTTGGGCTGGTGCTCTTTGGGCAGGGGGCTAATGTGGGGTCCCCTCCACGTTCTAGAGTATGTCTGTAGAACCAGAACAAGAGCAGTCATCGTCTTACTTCCACATGCTCAGAAAAACACGGGTATCGCAGGACAGGGGTTACGTGAGGGAAAGGTGTTATCTTAGCAATGTCATTGACGCCAGTGGCCTGAGAGCCTGAATTGTTGCTACTCCTGGTAAGTATGACAGGATGGTTTATGAAAACTTTGCTGTCTTTTTCTATTCCTAAGAACTTCTCCATTATGATAATCTTTTCTAAAAGAGCTATTTATAAAAAGCTATGGCTACATTCCTACTTCTGGCACAGTTTAACCCTGGTCAAAGATGATGATGATGGTGGTGATGATTGTCATTAGGAAACCTCGACCTTTTACGTCACAAAGTAAGGAAATTGAGACTACTTTTTTGTAATGTCATTCTTTCCCTGTAGGTCTTGGGACCTTGTTAGGATGTTTGTTTTAGAACTTGATAAAGTTAGATTACTTAAATCAGGTCACCATAAAACCCTCTTTATAATACGTATATATGTATACAAATTGTATGTATATGTGCTACTTACTTATATGTGTATTCCTAGTCCCGTAGATGTCAGGGTCGCAACATGTAATTAACTCACTTCATTGTCCTAGCTACTCTCATGATCTGTTAATCCATGTAATACCAGGAACAACATGGAAAGGCTTTCAGGACTTAATAAGCACTCCAGATATTTGCTCTGTCACCACTTCTCACATTTACCCCTAACATGCTTCAGAAGGCAGAAGAGAGAGAACATACACTAACTGGTACATGGAGGTGTGAGTTTCAGGGGGCAAATACAAAGTAATTACTTGGTTAATTACTTGGTTAGCTTCTAGGAATTCTTTATGGAAGAATATTTTGTCTGCATTAGAACTGGTCATCAGATAGTTTGTTTTCATCTCATTAGTGCCAGTGAAGTTCACGAATGTCTCTCAATAGGTAACAAGGCATTAAGCAACATTTTTTGGATAGCCCTTGCAAGAGCTTCAAGAGGGGTTCAGGTTATAAGGTTTTAAAAAGACAGAAGTCACTGTATAAATTATACTCCCTATCTCTTAAGAAAATTTACCAATCCCTAATGATAAAATATAGAAAATTCCAAATAAACCAATTCAGTTTTTTGCTAAATCACATTGTGTTTGTGTGTGTGTGTGTGTGTGTGTTTGTGCTCTCCAGACATATGAAGATTCATGAAAAGGACCCTAACAGTGCTACAGCTGCAGCACCTCCATCCCCACTGAAACGTAGGCGGCTATCATCCAAAAGGAAACTGAGTCATGATGCTGAGTCGGAGAAAGAAGACCCAGCACCTGCTAAAAAGGTCCTTTCTGCTCCCAACACAGATGCGCCTAACCACAGGACTTGTGGCGGAAATACCTCTAGTCTTTATTTTCGCAGTTTGGGGACCTGGCAGACATCCATCCTAAGCTTTTAACTTTTGTTTTTTCACACTGTTTTGTAAAGTGTCTGCAGAAAAACGTACCTTTGCGCTTCCTCTGTGGAGCCTCCTCTCTGAGCCCACTGATGAAACGTAGAGCTTGCTCCACTGTTTGGTGCTTTTTTTGTTTTTTCAGCTAGAATGGAAGTTTCATAAGTGTTAGGGACTCTTTTGTCCTCTTTTATTCCCAGTGCCTATCAGATGCTGGGTGCTCCTATAAATATTTGTTGAATGAATGAGTGGGTTGAGGGTGAATAGATGGATAGGTGGACGGATGGATGGTAGAATTCAGCGAGTATTGTTATATGAATAAAGGACTGGTCAGTAGCATTTTTAATACCTAGGAGGGAGGCATCCTTTTCTCTTTAGATAGCCTCTGGATTTCATGTTGTCTTCTCTTCAGAAGCAGACTCATGTGGGAGGCCTCTTTCATGACTTCACTTTTTTTTTTCCCCCTAAGATGGTAGAAGATGGGAAGTCAGGTGACCTGGAAAAGAAAGCTGATGAAGTTTTTCACTGCCCAGTATGTTTCAAGGAGTTTGTTTGCAAGTATGGACTGGAGACCCACATGGAGACCCACTCAGATAACCCACTAAGGTAGGAGAAAGGGTGGAATGTACCTGTCCCTCTGGAAGCTCTTTTCCATTCCTGTTTGTTCTGGCATATGACACATCCTTATTTCCCATTACTCCACACTCAGCTGAAATGACTTGGATATGATGACGTTAGTAAGGCCTTTCAGAATGGTGTGTGGTGTGGGGAAGAAGTAGGGCTGAAGGGTGTGAGAGAAGGCGGCTGTAGCCACAGGATGTGTTTACTGAGGTTCAGTCTGCTTCCTTCACTCTCAACGAGGCCCCTGAAACCATCACCACGAGCTCCTGGTGCATGGGGAGTCTCCTCTCACAGGGGGCTTTTGGGCAGCAGACACATTGTCTTCACAAAAGGTGTTGCAACCCACATGATTGTTAGCTGTGCATGAGTTTGTGATAAGGACACGAAAGGCATACCAGCTGTCCGTGGGTGTTTGGACTGGACTGGGCTGGTAGCACAGAACACTAAGAACGCATTTTGGGGTAAGTCCAAGTTCTATTTTGCGTAAGACATTCAACCTAAAGTAAAGCCCATCACAGAACAGTGATAGGTAGGTGCTCGTTCTGCTGGTCTGGCTTCAATTTTAGGACTCTACTGGTTTTAGTTTTTCTGATCCTCAGCCTCCCCAGGCAGAAAACGTAGATGGTAATGTGACTTTCCAGCAAAGTGTGGGGTTCTGAGGGGCAGGGTACTCCGCTTTCTTTCTCTATCTTCTCTGAGAACTTTTTCATCAGGCAGAAAGTCCTGTGTTCTTAGCTTGGAACCTCTTCCTGCAGAACTGCCACTTTTAAAATCTATGCCATAGTTTTTAAGCACTGAAAAGAACAGCGCCATCGGGGAATCTCTGGTACAGTACAAAGCTGGAAAGTAGCATGTCTGCCAGGGTCACCTAGGGCAGAAGCGAGCACTTACATGGCTGCAGCTTGGGTTTCAGAAGACGGCTTGGGAGGGTAGAAATCTGGACATCTGTGTGTGTGACTCACCGGTATATGGACCACATTTCCTTCCTGAAGACACGTGTTTGGTTGCGACTTAGGAGTGAAAAGGTCTGAGCAAGCCAAAGAGAGAAGACGTTCGTGTTGGATCGGGGGAGCCTAATTGTATGGTAACTTAAAGCCATGTCAAATATCATTATCCTTAATCATATTAGCTTGACCTTTCTCCATTAAAGGGAAAAAGGATTTATGAAGAGTTTTAACCACTGAGCAATTGAAGTGCTATAAAATGTCTTTACATAACTCCCCCGTCTGAGGAAGTTGCACGATGTGTGGGAGTGAGCATGGACCTGTTGTCCAGACCCCTGGATCCCAGTTTCATCTCTGCTCACTTGGGACTTCGACCAGCTACATACGAACCTCGAAGGAGAGCTGGACCAGATAACCTCTGTGTTCCCTTTCAGGCCTTAAATTCTGTGATTCCAAAACCTGTCTCCAAACAGTTGTTCTTCTGTCTACCAAGAAAAAGCATTTAGCTCTTCTTTGTATAGGGCCTATAGTTCTGTGAGATTTACAAACTTGTCTTCATGGTTTCATTAATGTCCACAGCATCTCCAGGATGTGGGCTTGTGGTGGGTGATGAATATTAAATAGTTCTCTAGACTGAGGACCTGAGCAAAACAGAGGTGAAGTTACCAGATGAGCTTCACATGGCCAGTCATGGACAAAGGCAAGGATAGCGCATAGGACCCCCAACTCCCATTTCTGCCAAACAGCCTCTGACCGAATACTGCAAAGTAAACACACTGCTCCTTCCTATGTTTTATTTCACATCATACTTTATTCTGTGCTCAGATATCATTAAGAACTACCCATTTGCCCCCTTTCAGATAATTCTATCCTACAGGGAAAATAACTTGACTCTCCAGAGAGATTTCTGGGTGACTGCAGCCTCCACAACACCGTGTATAGCAGTGGGAGATGAAAGTCTCAAGTCTCCCCTTCTTAAATGCTAGCCTGGACATGGGTATGGATTCTTCTGGAGCAGGGCCTTCTGGACGAGCACCTACTCCAGAGACAGGCTGGGCTTGCTACCCAGGGTGGATTGAGATAGGAATTGCACTGACACTGGTTGTTCCTTTCTGCACAGTTTGGTGGTTAATTCACTTATCATTATCATGACTCCAAGGCCACCGGAGTAGTCAGCAGGCTATGAATCTGAAACTTAAGTCCTGCCTGTTTTCCTTGCCTACTCTGTAGTTTGGTGAGGGGTTGACTGGAGAGTTTTTGTTGCCTGGCAGCCTTCCCTCTCACTGGAGCCCCTGGACCATGCACCCAACAGTGCCTGGCAGTGGCCATTAAGAAGGGGTTGCCTTGTGTCCATTGTGGGGAACAAGCAGGCCGTCCCCTGTCTAGTGGCTTTTGCTAGGTGGGGTGGGGCTTATGTCTAGAAACCAAAAGGAGTTGATTACAGAACATAGTTAATTTCCCTTTTCTCCTTTCTGCTCTGCTGTTCCACATAATAGCCTGCTATCAGAGGGAGGCCATTGGGGCAGGCAGGAGCCGGCAGGGCCCAGCCAGGCAATGAACTGTGACAGGAGCTAGTGGGAGAAACTGCTTGTTAACCCAGAGCTAAAATAGACACCATCTCCATTTGCAAACCCCAAAGGCAGCAGAACCACAGTGGGATGGACGCTACCAGTTTAAACAGAAAGTTTGTAACTCAAAACAGCTGTTGGCTTCTCTCTCTCCTGCCATTACACCCCCACCCCCAAAGCTGGCAAGGTGCCTGTTGTTCTTAACAAAAAGTATTGGAAATCCAAATTTGTGTAAATGCTGAAGCCGATCTCCATTCTCTTGTGTTTTAAATTAATGAAGTATCAGCATACAGCAAAAAGAAGACACGAAGCTGCTTGTACTGAATCTTGTTCTTGGTATCCGTTATTGCTTGCACCCTGGCATGACCAGAGATAAATCAGCCCCTCTGGACAGCTCCCCAGACAAGGAGAAACACAGGGCTTATTGAGAACTGGCATTTGGAATTGGAGGTGACAGACAAGAGTGTTCAGCGAGCAGGTGGATGCAAAGAGGACATCCCTATGCGAGGATATTTTAGGGTGTTGAATGTCTTCCTTGGTTATAAGAATAGAACAGAGTAACAGGCCGTACACTGCTGCGAGTAAAGTTAGCTGAGAGGGAAGTCCAGGTCAGCACTGACGAGTACAAGTAGGATGAGAGCCATGTGTATCATTTTAAATTTTCTAGTAGCTACTTAAGAAACAGGTGAAATCGATCATGCTTTGTTGATTATACCAGTATGTTCCAAATATAATGTCAGCATAGACACGGTATAAAAATTGTCAGTGATACGTTTTACATTCTTGTTTATATACTAAGTCTTTGCAATCCAGGGTGTGTGGTTTGATCACAGGCCATCTCAGTTTGAACAGGTGTATCTCAAGTGCTCAGCAGCTCACCATACAAGTGCAGGTCTAACACAAGGCCACCTATGGCAGAGAGGGTGCCAAGGCAGCGGCTTTGTTTCGGAAGCCCCTGGTCTTATGTATGAATGGCTTCTCTCAGGCTGACCAGGGCAGAATGGCCAGAATGGCAGCTGGTCACCGTGGCAATATAGCTGCAGCTGGGGGCAAAATTTGGCAAAAGCTATATAATCTTACATGGTTTCTTGATTAAAGGAGATAGGGTAATAAATAATTTTTAAATTACTTTAGTTAAAATGGACCCAGGAAATGATTGAATGGTTATTATGTGTCAGGCATTTGACCAGACTTGAGGAAAAAAATGGTGACATTGGAGATAGGGCCCTTTATGGACCAGTAAGAAAACAAGTAAAGGAGTGGTTATAAAACAAAGCGAAGGGGGGGGGGGTCCCTTTATGGCCAAGGGGTGCATGGGAGCCTATTGTCCAAACAGAGGGAGCCTGATCTGGCGGCTGGGGTGAAGCTTCCCTCAGCACTTTACATCAGATGTCATGGGGCGCTTCACTGCGTTTCCTCCAGTAGAGGCCATCCTCGCTCTGATCAAATTATTGATTTTGTCTGTGAGGTGATTTTAAATTTTAACGTGATGCTCTTAAATCTATGCCAGAAATTAGTATGTGGGGAACCCAAGTGGGCTCTGACAGGCATGGCTGTGTGAGGGGAGGTTAAGTGCTGCTGCAGGCGTGGAGGGTAAGCTGGGGGCCACCCCTCATGTTGGTAGCAGAAAGAGGTACCAGAACATTTCATCTGGATTCTTGAGTGTTCAACTCCCTTTACTGTATCCCCCACCTCACACATACACCCATCACCTGCAGGAAGACCCTCAAACTAATTAACATGGCATTGCTCCCATGCTTGTTAAGTGCCATTTTTTTTTATAACAAAATATTTGTCAGCATCTTGTATTCAAGAGTCTCAGGGGTCTGAGACTCGGCCAGGTGGAAGTAGATTTAAAAGGATGCTGGTGGCTGAGGGTGGAAGGCAGGACATTCCTTCCTCCCCCTTCTGCCCCAACTTCCCAGCGGGCCTGGAAGCTGGAGGCACCTTTTTCAGGACTGCCCTCTCTCTGCCCTGCCCAAGGGGCCTCTGTGACTTGGGCTTACCCCAGCCACCTTCTACCCCCCCCGCCCCCCCCGCCACTGTTGTGAAGTCCCTAGACCTGCCCTGGCTTCACGCCACACTGGTTTGGTTGAACAGTCTGAGCAGGGTGTGCAGGGTGGTGGATTCCTGGGTGTGGGGAGGGCAGGCTGCCACCCGCTGCTGGCCAGAGCCCTGTCACAGGGCCCGCACTGTTGCTCCCAGCAACTGGGAGAGATTAGTGCAGCTGTTGGATGTCAGTTCTCGGCTGGGACAGGGCTAGAGGGGAGGGTGGGCTCAAGGAGAGAGGAATGTCTGAATTGGGCAGGGCTCCGAGGAGAGGTTGTTTGTACTTAGCCCTTCTTGCCTCCGGAGACAGAGCAGGAAAAATGAAGCATGAAATCCCTTTAAAAAAGGAATGTCAGTCTCTTGATTAAAACACTATAATGAGCAAGAAATCCAGTATCTCAGGGAGGTGGTGAGGGTCGAGCAG